GATTGTATGTATAGTTATATCGCGAGACAGACCTACAAGAAGAGAGAGTTCGAGTGTTGCGAGGTTTGGGGTCCGTTAGAGATGTGAATCGTATCTCACAAGTGCTCGACTTATCCATATCTGTAAGCATTTGTTATAATTATTAAATTGAATAAAATATGTAATAAAATGATGGTTAGGATGAGGTTCGTAGCAATGACTCAGTGATTGCAATGGCGTCCGTAGCGCTCACGAAGAATGGCAAAGATATTATGTGGCAATTCTTCAAAAACAATGTCGATCTATTGAAGCGTCGATACGAAACGGGTCCACTCATGTTTAGATTAGTTCAGGTTTGTGTCAATCCATAATTAATAGTAACTTTTAATTTTTAATGATTATATTTTAATCGTACGGACAGTACATAACGGAAAACTTTGTGACCGAAGAGATGGCCGTAGAAGTGGAGAAATTCTTCGTCGACAATCCATTCCCGGGAACCGAACGAACGGTTAGACAATCACTCGAAACCATACGTTTAAACAGCGAATGGTTGGCTCGCGATCTGCCGGCCATTCAATCCTTTTTATCCAATCGTTTATAAGTTTTGAACAATTAATTAAATTTAAAGCAATTTAAGTAAGAAATTGTTACGTAAACACTTTTTGAAACAAAATATAACATTTTATTATTGCGCTCTTAAACAAGTTGAAGGTTAAAATGTGTATAAATATGACCACAAAATTTCACTAAAAAAATACATTCAATAAATTATGTGTTATTTAAAAGAAATTGATAACAATTTAATAATCATTCTGGAATTATTTATCATGTTTTATAAAATTTAAAAACATTTGCTTATGAATAGAGAAAGTGAGAGATTATTTTTAATCAATTTAAAAACATCTGCATTTAAATATATTGATAATAATCAGTAATTTTTGTGATCGCTGGGCGCCGGCCAGGGGTAGGCAGAGAGTACCTGTGCGTTGGGCGGATGGTGTGGGTGTTGTTGCTGTGCTGTGGCCACAGTTGGCGGCGCATTGGGAACGGCGGTCGGCGGCGGAACAAATGGCTCGATAGTGCCCGGGTATGTGGGCATCGGGTGATACACCGGTTGTGGGGCCGGCTGTTGATGCGCGGCCACCACTGGCGTGAAGAGCGGTTGTCTGTGTCCCTCTTCCATATCGATGAACGTCGAGTTGGGAATAACGGTCTGCAGATACGGCGGAACGGCCGCCATATGCAGACCAATCACTGGTACGGGCGTTACGTTCGGATCAATTGTTTGTGATGTTATTTGATTCGAGTGCTCGTACGGTGGCTGTGGTGGTGGGGGAACCGTCGGTGGTGTCGGCGACTCGACGGGCGGTAATTCATTGCTTCTGACGGGTGCGGTCTCATCGCCGCCGACACCCGTTTGTGTGTTATTTGTATTGTCCTCTGCGTTGGCGTTGATCTGCGGCGGCAATAGATCCTGATGTAAATGCGGTAAAAACGTGGCGATCCGGTCCCACGTGATGGCGGCCAACGTGTCGTTGAAACAACCGGCCGTTTCCATCACCAGCAGTATGTTCTTCAGCGACTCCGGAATCGCCTCTTTCTATAAGAGATGATAATTAAGATTAAAATCAATCAATAGTTGACATAATAATGGGTGAGGGGTTGACGTACGACAAGGTCTGTTTGCATGTCAGCCCTCATGTATTTGTCCATAAAGTCAAGTATTGTGAGCCATAAGGCCGTGAATGTAGACAACGTTAATAATGGCGTTAAATGCTGTATGTGAGGGGTTGACGTACGACAAGGTCTGTTTGCATGTCAGCCCTCATGTATTTGTCCATAAAGTCAAGTATTGTGAGCCATAAGGCCGTGAATGTAGACAACGTTAATAATGGCGTTAAATGCTGTAAAAACACTTTGCAGAGCAGGTTTGTGGTGCGCATACGGGTCTCATCCATACCGATCGGGTCACACATATTGATCGGTTCCAAGAGTTTGGACAACAATGGGAACAAAACCTAAAATTACAAAATTAATTAATTAAAATAAAAATAATTGTAGACTTACTTTATTGAAGCAGTTCTCCCACTGCGAGGCCGACAACACTTTGAGGTCATGAAGAAGAAGCGCCCGCTGGAGGAATGTGAGGGCACACGTCCGCACCGGACGCCGGGAGTCGCAACAGAACAGAGCGATTCCTATACCATTCAAAAGTTCATTCATTAGTTTTAACCACTATTTTCATTATATTTTCATTCAAACCTTGAAGTAATGGACACCAAAGCGCGGACCACAAGAACTCAGACGAGTTGTTCTCGACGGTGAGCGCGGCGTTCAGATGAAAGTAATGCATCAGATCTAGGAGTCGAAGAGCGCACGTCTCGGTCACCGACGAGAATTTTGGTTGACTCTTGCGGACCACAAGAACTCAGACGAGTTGTTCTCGACGGTGAGCGCGGCGTTCAGATGAAAGTAATGCATCAGATCTAGGAGTCGAAGAGCGCACGTCTCGGTCACCGACGAGAATTTTGGTTGACTCTGATTGGACGCGTGGGTCGGCGGCGACTCTTCGTCGTCGTCGGACTCACTGGACGACAGGATAGCGTTGGCGATACGCGACAGACGAGACTTATTGGCCAAATCGGCCGCACGTGAGTTGGCCCGCGATTTACGCGAATTATGCGGCGCCGGTCGCCTCAATTGGCCGATCTTTCCCGGCGTTAATTGTATTTTAATGGACGCCTCGACAAACCTCTGGAGCGCGTCGACCGCCAACTGAGCCACAGTATAGACACTGTTGTCTTCGGTGACAAACACTTGAAAATTTTTGACATTGTTTGGCAACACTTCGCGTATGATTAGTGTCAAAATCTCTGTACTTTTCTCGAACGCTTCCAAATCGAAAATTCGATAACTCGGCGCCGCGTTCGCCGAATTGGCGCCGCTCTGACCGCCGCTACTGTCGGCGAAGAATCGGAACGTATTGTTCAGATTGGGATCAATCGTTTTGGAGACGTTGAGCTCAGAGTCCGATGTATAGCCGCGAGCGGTGGCGGCGGCCGTAGAAGATATCGAGCCATCGGTGGCCGCAGTCTCTTCGCCGTCGCTCTGAATATTTTGCACGTTTGGCTCGTTTTGATTGGTAGTCTTCGCCCGCTTCTGGTAACCGATGCCAACGGCCAGAAGGAAGTTGAATATTACGGCCCAGTCTTGGCTGCGAGTGATATAACAATTGCATTGCGATACGAATGAGTGCAACGCAATGGCCGTCGACTTTCTTTGAATCATATTTGGTTCAAATGTTAACAAGAGGTGACACAATAGTAGAAATATCTGTTCGCTTAGCGAATCGGGTCTCGGCGTGAATCGAATGGCCAGTCGGAAGATTGTGGACACCAATCGTTCGGACAGGTATTCACTGTTAGGACACAATACCATAAGCCGCAGAAGATATCGCGAGATCTGATGCCAAAACACAGACACTCTATCCCTGAATACAAAAAAAATAACATTTTGCGTGAAATTAAATGATAAACTCAATGATAATTGTCTGTCAAATACCTATTCATTAAAATAATTTTCAAGAGTATCTCCAGTTTGAAGACTTCGATGTCGTCGTCAAACTCTTCGGTACTCAACTGTGTGTTAATCACGGCTTTAATGAGCGCTAATAGAGAGTCGATGTGAAGAAACTTTGACTCTTCAATAATCAGAAGCAACGGTTGACAGTAATGGTTGGCCGGAGTGGCCGACGATTGGCTGCCGCCACCGCCGCCGCCGACGTGACCACTCTGTTGGCCCTCTTTAGACACTAATTGGCCCTTATTTTCGGACAATTCACTGTCGCTCTGCTGTTGACTCCCGGGATTGCCGGCGAAATACGAGTAAACACTGGACAGAAAGGTGGACGACGTGTCGGATTCGGGCTTTTGCTTTTGGCTGTCTTTACGCCGAAAGACAATGCGTTTGGAGTTGAGGGCGAAGTCCTCGATCTCGAAGGCGTCGTTAAGCATTTTGGTGTTATACCAGTTCAATATCAACTCAATTATGTTGTTCCACGACTCGCGCATCTCATTGGCGTACTCGCGGGTTATGCCGAACAGACACTGAGCGGCCAATTGACTCTTCTTCGACATACCGGCGCCGGTCGGCGATATATACTGCCCGCCGCTCGTGAACTGACTCTTGGCGGACACCATTCCGGGCGCACTCGCCGGTGACAGAGACGACGAGTTGAGTATGAATTTCGATAGATTCACCACAAGATTGTCGAGATGTCCGTAAGTGGCGCACAGAAGGGCGCAACTGTTGAACCCGTTGTTCAATAGGCGACGCGTGAGTCCCGACTGTTGGTCGGGATTTATTTTGTCGAACACAAAGGTCATGGCGGCCACAGTCGGCCCCCAGAGTACCGAAAATATGGGCCCATTTAGTGTCAATAACGGTAGCGTAAAGTCTTGACTAGAGTTCTGGTCCCCACCGGAGCCCACAATGGGTTTATTGCACTCAGGAGTGGTGGCGGCCGACGTGTACCTCACATACCAATACACGCCGTTCTCAGTCTCGCTATTCCTCAACAAACACTTCCAGAGGTAGCGGTCGCGGACCAGACCCTGCTGTTCGGCCGGCATTATAATCTCATTGGTTTTGATGGCAAAGTAGATCTCTTTCAACATTTCCGGATCAAAGTCTTTGCCGCCATTCACTTGACGGAGATTAGAGCGAAACTGATCCAACGACATGGGATTGCTCTGGCGTTTGACGTTCGTGTTGTGCTGATCCACGTTCAGCATAATTATGGCGTACGCCAGACAAAAGGCCGCGTCTTCTCTCTCGAACGGACAGTCGTTTGATTCCTAAGACAAAGACATCATTGATATTGTGGTCATTGGTTTGATTGAGTGGCCATTCAGGCCGGTGTGAGTTGTATTAGCGGTCACTTACGTGCCAGTGATGTGCGAAGTGCTCTAAGATCATGGATATGAGGGGCGCCTCACCCGGCAATCGGAACGACTCGAGAAACACGCGCAACGCGTCGTCCAAACGCGTGTCTTTGAACGCAAAGCTCTCGACAAATGTGCGCAAAATATCCAAATGCTTTTTGTTGGACAAGTATTCGCCGATTTGTTTTTTGTCCAGTTTTGGATTGTCGCGCAAAAACGACACGATATCCATGTCCTGAGCGATCAGCCGATTGTCGTTCAGGTATTGGACACCTTTAGCCGGTTTGGTGTTGAACTGTTCGGTGGCCGTCGAGAGCATCACTTTGCGATTCTTTTGGTCTATTATTTCAAACGTATTTTTGGCCACTTTTTCAAGGTTCGGGTATTTATAGGACACTAACGTCCGCGGCTTTGGTGTTACTTCGGGTTTCAATTGGTCGGCGTCTTCGACAGCGGCGCCGGCGATCTCTTTCAACTCATTGGGCGTTATTGTCTCGAAGTTGTCAATTGTGTGTTCATTCACTTCGGGAACGGGTGTTATGTCACTGAACGACTCCATCGACGTAACAACTCTTATGGAACCGACATCGATGTCTAGTGGAGTGTCGGGCGGCGATTCCATCTGCGACTCTGCGGCCACAGTTTGCTGTTGTTCTTCGAAAGCACTGTTTGGTAAACACTCGGTCTCTGGTGTCTTAAGAGCTGACGAGTCGGCATTGATGTCCATTTTATTCACTTTCCCGCCGGCGATGGCTTTCTTCTGAACCAAATTAACGTAAGTGATCGCCGGACAGACCACCAGAACGTCTTCGGGACACAACTCGGCCTTTTGAAGACTCTTGAGTATCGCCAACAGCGCGTCCAATGACAGCATTTGCATTGACGTGAACTGAAAGGCCGGCGCCGTCGTCATCGACGACTGCTGTGTTATCACAGAAGTGGTGAAACAGTTCTTCGAGAAGATCTGCAACAAGTCCTCCAATAGGTTCGTGGCGTACGGATCGCAGTCGTAGTTGAAGTATATCTCGTGCGGCAAATGCGCCAAATGCCGGAAGAAGGCCACCAAATACTCGGCGGCGATCTCTTTGAACTCGAAGGGCGCGTTACCGGTGGTAATGATGTCCATCAGTCGGATCAATAGGGCCTCGAATTGGTATTTCAGATGCATTCGCAGATTCGTGAATATCAGAAACGCTAAGCGCAGGGAAGCGGCGAATGAACTCAACGGCCGATCGCTCTGCAGAAGCTGTCGGTGGAAATGGAGGTCAGAAGGAAATGATTAATATTAAAGCATTCAAATGGATGACTGGTCTGTATGTCTGTCCAAACCTGCATTATATTCCAACAGAGATCAGTCTTAACGGTCGATATAAGACAGTGTTTGCTTCCAATCCCGTGGACAGAGGTCTCGAAACTGACGGTCAGTAGTGTTAGGCCGACGTTAATCATAGCTTCGGTGTTCTGGCCTTCGGGTAACGGATTGATGAGTGAAGTCAAGTAGGATAACAACTCGTGAATGCAGGCCAACCCGTAATAGTGTTGCCTCTTATCTGCAAAACAATGATTATATAATTATACCAAATGTCTCATTAAAATGTCTGATCAAATGGTGTCCCAACCGGTTGTGTCCTCTTTGTTGAATCTAATGCTCTGTTTGTTCACAAAATCTGATGTCTTTTGATTGATGTCACGTTTGGAGCGCTTATTGAGCGATGCGTTCATCTTAGTTGATCCCATCTTCAGGAAACAGAGCTCATCGACAAACTCGTGGTTAAACTCGGGAATGCGTCTGAAGAGGACGTGAACCATATCGACGAGCGATTGTTCAGCGCTTTTGCGTAACAGTTCGCTGAGTCGCGGCTCAAACGCTATGCGAAAACAGCTCTGCATTATCTCACAGACGGAACCGTTGGTCAGACACTCGAAGCGGCGCACAATCAACTCTTTGAGGACATTGAGTATACGCATGAGAACCACTTCATCGCTGGTGGTGTCGGTGCCGATGAACCGCGCTTTGGTCACCGAATCGCTGATCATCTGAACGGCCGCGTCGTCGCCGCCGATGAGGCCGTAGTTAATGAACTTAAGAATGGATTGGAGAGCGAGTCCAGTGATGGGTCCGCTCACGTCCTTGTTTTTGATCACTTCGCAAAAGGGGCGCAAATAGTTGGCATCCGTGACCACCAGTTTGTCTTTGCGTAGTTTGGCCTTCAGTCGGATCAGACTCTTGAGTAGTGGATCGGCGATCAGGTCGTCGGCGTCGTCGTCCTCCTCTTCGTATTCGGCCACTAGTGTCGAGAGTCGAGTGTTGGACGCGTTTCCGGCCGCAGAGGATCTGCTCAAAGACCCGCCGCCCCTCTGATTGCCCCGCAATATAGCGGTCGACAACATCGACGCCTCGCCCAACACTACCAGACGTATTGAATCTGTCGGTGATATCAATGACACGGCATTAGACAATGCCATCACAATTGTAACGCATAACACATCCACACATACCGTCATCCATGGTGTCCATCGATTGGCAGATGATATACACCTCTTGAGTGATGAGTTGGCGATTGACTCACACCACAGACATATGTTAACACTGGTTTGTCGATCACTTTGGGAACCAATTGGCGGACACCAATGTCTTAGCGCTATAGTGTAGTTCACTGAGTGATTATCTTCTTCGCCAAAGATGGCAATGGATTAGCGACTGAAGCGACAAATGGTTTGTCGGGAAATGCAATACACGTTATGTTTAGTCCAAAAGGTTTTTTGTAAATACAAACAACTATTGCCTAAGTTTTTATGGCTGTTTGCCTCACAGCGCATGCGCTCAACCCTAACACTTGTCATCATTAACTAGTTTGGACAGGAATTGACATTGCAATGATCATCATCATTTTAATCACACGTCAATACACCCGCACAATACTCCCTAACCCCTCAAATGCACTGTTAATTATAGAGTAATTCTCGCTTATTATTGTACCGGTATTTCCCGATTATAAGTCCCCGAAATACATGAACACATTTTTACTAGTTTTACAAAACTATGGATTTATTAAATTTATTGCATAAATAATTTACATTAAAAAATAATATTAAATATTTCTGTAAGAAATTTCAATGTTGTGTTCGTTTCACTCGTCGGGCGAAGAGTTTGTTTTCTGTCCACTCAAAGGAGCGCTTCCATCAGTATATGCAATATATTGGCCAACAAATTGAGGATAAACTCCCACGTGTCCGACCCTTTGCCACTCTTGTCGTCGTCTGACCGGTGGTCACGCTTTCGGTGATCGCCCGACGCGGACGCCACCCGACCGGAGGAAGACTTGCGTCGATTAGCTGTGGCCACACTATCGCCATCGAGTCCGGGAAAGGGTTCGCCGAAGAACTCTTCGTAAAAGTCGAGCTCATCGTCGGTCACGCCATACAACTTGTCTTCGAGCCGGTCGTTGTCGTCGAAGTACTCGACGCCCATCACATCCAGCGTATAGCGGGACGACTCGTGGGACGGGTGGCCGTAGACCGCGATACCGATCGGGCGGCGGAACTCGATGTCGATGTGGACCACGTCTTGACCACAGGTGACGGACTGGAGGTCGTGTTCGTGATAGTCATAGCCCCCAAAGCAGCCGGCAGGTGACGACAGGCGGACTCTGTGTATCTCCAGCCGCAGCGGGCTCTCACACCAGTTGTGCTCACAGTTGAAGACCAGCGGCAATATACTTATCACCCACATTAAGGGCTTCTCAACGATTCCGTCCACTGTTTCGGTGAAGAGTATCCGATCACCGGAACAGCTCTTAAGGCACGATATGATGAGCGCTGCGGCCAATAGATAGCCGCCGGTGACCACCGATTGTGTCCATACAATCATCTTTTGTGTCGACGTTTGAACTGAATGTACGGTTAAAATGAAGTGCAAAACGAGACAAACATTTAATTGTGTTTTGGATTTAATTTCTTATAACATATTAATTGTATTAAACATTAAATGAGTTGTTATTGTAATCAGTGTTTGAATGCAATCACAAAACGTTTACATCATTTCAACAAAACTGTAAAAAAAACAATAAAATTATTTTTTTGCATTTCTTATAATAACAACAAAAACACATGTATAGTCATTAGCAAACATTAGCCGTCACTGCCTATTTATCTCTGTTATCAATAAAGTTATGTTTATAAAGGTACCAAATTTGATAATTTACATTATTATATGCTATTGCATACATCTAATGTAATTCAAAGAGTGCATTAACTGACACATACTGAAACATGTAGTTAACACAATCTATTCATTGACGGCTAATGTTTGCCATCGACGATAATTTGGTTTGTGTTCACAAATTACGGCTCATTTCTATTGAATATTTTTTATTAAATTACAGATGTTTTATATGTAAACATTGGGACACTTTTTGCCCCCTTTTGCACGTTATTTATGAATAGTTTAAATATAAACAAATGTTTAAAAGTCTTGTGAAAATCAAAACAAACCGTGTTTTAAAAATACAACAAATTTTAATTGATTTAAGGATTTAATTATGTTTTGCATATATTTGTGGCAATCATTGAACACGTGGTGAAAGCAGTCATTGAATCAAAGCAATAATATTTATCGCAAACTAAACACAAATCCAATGAAAAGCATGAATTGTTGGCGAAATGTGCGGCAAATATACCAAAACTGCGGCCAAATGCCGGCCATTTGTGGCCACCGGTCACTACAGCCGACATCACTTCGCGGATCCGCTGGTGTGGTGTCTGTGCGGCAGTTGTGGGGCATCGGACGGCCCAAAGGGTCGGACACGAAGGCCGGCGTTCGGGCGAAGGACGTGACTGTGGCCTCCCGTCTCTTCGAGGAGATCCCCGACCGACACAAAGAGCACTTCCTTCAAGTGGTGGACAACTATGAGAACCATAAGTACGTGCGAAGACAGGGATACGTGGAGTTCATCACAGCAGCGCTTCCCTATCTGAAAGACTATGGCGTTCACCGAGATTTGGAGGTCTATAAGGCGCTGATGAATGTGTTCCCGAGGAATCGGTACCGACCCGACAACA